CAGGGATGGGTTGCAGAATGCCCCTCCTGTAATCCAGGAGGAAGTAGTTAGGGACCTGCTGTGTCACTTAGAAACTATCAAGTCCATGGGTCTGGATGGGATTCATCCTAGGATGCTGAGGGAGCTAGTGAAAGAACTGGCCAAGCCGCTACCCATGATTTATCACCGGTCCTGGCTAACTGGGGAGGTCCCCGATGACTGGAGGTTGGCCAACGTGATGCCCATCCACAAGAAAGGCCAGAAGGAGGATCCAGGGAACTATGGGCCTGTCAGCCAGACTTTGGTGCCTGGCAAGGTTATGGAACAGATATCCTGAGTGGCATCAAACGGCATGTAGAAGACAACCAGGGGATCAGGTTCAGCCAACATGGGTTTAGGAAAGGAAGGTCCTGCCTGACCAATCTCATCTCATTCTATGACTGGGTGACCTGCCTAGTGGGTGTCGGTGTGCCTGGCTGGCTCGTGGAGGTGTATTCCAGCGAGGGAAGAATGCAAGACAATCAATATGATTGATAGAGCAAACTCCACTTTATTAGAAATTACAGGCACTTATATACCCTTAGCCCGGATTTTACATGTCCAGGGTTGCACTTATGATTGGTCAGTTGTACTAGAGCCTGCCACGGTCTGAACAGTGACTGGCTCTTTGGCTCAGGCTCAATCAGGACTCTCCACCCCATCTCCTCTTCTGGCACGTTCGGATGTTTACTTTGTTAGCTCTCTTTTATCAACTGGTTCTCATGAGAGAGTCCTTGGTCGTCGAGGCCCAGGTGTTCTATCAGTAAAAACAGGATTGCTCACGTATCCGTTGTTTATTAAAACAGCCTGCAACAAGTGGGTAAGGGGAAAGCTGTGGATGTGGTCTACCTTGACATTTGACAAAGGCAGGGCCTTTGACACAGTCTCCCACAGCATCCTCCTGGAGAAGCCAGCAATCCACAGCTTGGACAGGTGCACCCTTCACTCGGTTAAAAACTGGTTGGATGACTGGGCCCAGAGAGTGATGGTGAATGGAGCTGCATCCAGCTGGCATCCGGTGACCAGAGCTGTTCCCCAGGAATCAGTAGTGGTCCCAGTCCTATTTAGCATCTTTATTGATGACCTGGATGTGGGGATTGAGTCCACCTTCAGTAATTTTGCAGATGACACCAAGTTGTGGGGGGAGCATCTATCTGCCAGAGGGTAGGAAGAAGCTGCAGGAGGACCTTGACAGACTGGGTCAATGGGTCGAGGCCAATGGCATGAAATTTAACAAGATCAAGTGCAGGGCCCAGCACCTTGGCCACAATAACCCCATGCAACGCTACAGGCTGCTGAAGAGTGGCTGGAGAGCAGCCCAGCAGAGAAGGAACCTGGGAATACTGGTTGACAGCAGGTTGAACATGAGCCAGCGGTGTGCCCAGGTGGCCCAGAAGGCCAATGGCATCCTGGCTTGTATCAGGAATAGTGTGGCCAGCAGGAGTAGGGATGTAATTCTCTCCCTGTACAGTTGAGACCTTATCTCAAGTACTGTGTACAGTTCTGGGCCCTTTACTTCAAGAAGGATATTGAGGTGCTGGAGCAGGTCCAGAGGAGAGCAATGAGGCTGGTGAAGGGACTAGAGGGAAAGTGTTATGCGGGAGGTCATCATGGACAGACACACAGGGATCAACATGATCAAGTGAATGCCCCTTGCTATGTGCACGTGTCCAAAACCACTCTTGTCATTGGTCAATTGCCATAAAGCCCTGCCACGACCTAAACAGTGATTGGTTCCTAGCCTTATAGCACGCGCATGAGCAGTCATGACTCTCCGCCTCACTTCCTTCTTTGGCACATCCAGAAGGTGTTTACTTTGCTGCTCACTTTTTCAGTTGGTATCCATGGAAACGTCCTTGCTGGGGGGCCCAGGTGTTTTCAGTAAAGGCTGGATTGCTCACAGGTCCATTGCTTGCTAAAAAAGCCCTCTACAGTGTTATAGGGATAGACCAAGGGAGCTGGGGATGTTTAGCCCAGAGAAAAGGAGACTCAGGGGGGACCTCATCACTCTCTTCAACTACCTGAAGGGAGGTTGTAGTCAGGTGGGGGCTGGGCTCTTCTCCCAGGCAATGAGCAACAGGACGAGAGGGCATTGCCTGAAGCTGCACCAGGGGAGGTTTAGGTTGGATATTAGGAAGCACTTCCTCACGGAGGAGGTGATTAGACATTGGAATGGACTTCCCACGGAAGTGGTGGAGGCACCATCCCTGGATGTGTTCAAGGAAAGACTGGATGTGGCACTTACCATGGTCTAGCCAACGCGGTGGTGTTAGGTCATAGGCTGGACTTGATGATCTTAAAGGTCTTTTCCAGCTTTGGTGATTCTGTGATTCTGTGATATTGACTCAGTCACAACATCATAGAAGGCTCTCGGATTAGTAAAAAAATTATTTTCCCTTGGTGAATCCATGCTGGCTACTCCTGATAGCCTTCTAATCTTCCATGTGCTTAGCGATGACCTTCAGAATGAGCTGCTCCATCATCTTTCCAGGGATGGAGGTGAGGATGACCAGTCTGTAGTTACCCAGTTTCTGTTTCTTGCCCTTCTTGAAGATGGGAGTGACATTAGCTTTCCTCCAGTCCTCAGGAACCTCTTTCCAGTTAGAGTCTGGGTGGATGCTTCAGATAATTTAGAGGCTTCCTCTGTAGTTAATACTTGTTTTGACTCTGAGGAAAGTGCCCACTATATTGACAGAGACCGAGAGCTCTTCCCTGGGTTGTGGATGTAACAGCAGAATGCAGGGTCCTCACTGTGTGCCCTTCCCTCAAACTTTTTAGCTGTGAGGGTGACCAAGCACTGCCACAGGTTGACCAGAGAAGTTGTGGAGTCTCCATCTTTGGAGATATTCAATAGATGTCACAGAATCACAGAATGTTCAGGGTTGGAAGGGACTTCCAAAGATCATCCAGTCCAACCCCCCTGCTGCAGCAGGACCAAATTTAGGGCAGGTAAACCCCTGATTGAAATGTCTATTCTCTCTGGGTGTACCTGCAACATTACTGGAAACTCTTGTCTTATTACCAGATAGTTTTGATGAATCAATTGTATCACGGTAGCTTTATGAGTGTTTTCCATTAGCTACGAGAGCACACCTTTATTAAAAGGTTCACCCCTGGACATCAGGTCTATTAGACTGATGTTATAAGCAGCTTGCTGGATTACTGTCCACAAAGCCTCATGGTTTCCAGTGGTTAGTAAGGCACTGTGACCCCAGTACCCAGAGGCTTCCTTTTCTGAGACTTGAATGTTGTCTCCTCTTGAGGCAGACACTTGAATCACATATTCCATGTCTGTCTCAGTGGGAAGCCAGCTAAACTGCTTTTCTAAATTAGCTAGCTCCAAAGTGCTGTAAGGAGTATCTTTGTGTGTAAGGTTAGCCCGCCACTGCCTATCATCATATGAATAGTTGGTGCAGATCACCAGCCACAAAACAGCATGTGAAGTGCTGTCATTATCACTATAATCAGAGTGGTTACTAGAAGAGATCACAGAAGTGCTTTCAATTAAACATGTTATTTTCTATGAACTGTCACCAATGCATTTTATTTCTTTATGTCCAGTTTTAACGTAACCTTCAAAGCTTGTTCTAATTTTGGGATGTGTTTGAAGGAACAATTTGTTCTTGGAACTATCCTTAGACATATCAAGGATGATGGGGTCATTAAGAGTAGTCAACACGGTTTTACCAAGGGAAAGTCATGTTTGACCAAACTTATAGCCTTCTATGAGGAAGCAACTAGGTGGATAGATGATGGTAGAGTGGTAGATGTGGTTTATCTCGATTTCAGTAAAGCATTTGACACTGTCTCCCACAGCATCCTCGTAGATAAACTGAGGAAGTGTGGTCTGGATGATCAGGTAGTGAGGTGGATCATGAGCTGGTTGAAAGGAATAAGTCAGAGGAGAGTTGTGGTCAATGGAACAGAATCTAGTTGGAGGTCTGTGACTAGTGGAGTCCCTCAGGGGTCGGTACTGAGACCGGTGTTGTTCAATATTTTCATCAACAACCTGGATGAGGGAACAGAGTTTGCCCTCAGGAAGTTTGCTGATGACACTAAACTGGGAGGAGTGGCTGACACACCAGAAGGCTGTGCTGGCATTCCGTGAGATCTGGACAGGCTGGAGAGTTGGGCAGGGAGAAACTTGATGAAATTCAACAAGGGCAAGTGTAGAGTCTTGCATCTGGGGAAGAAAAAACCCATGAGCCTGGCAGTGGTACCAGAGGGAGCCAGTGACACCGCTTGTGTGCAGTGTGAGCAAATAAATGATCTGCTCAGGCAGGTAGTTGAACTGAGGGAGGAGGTAGAAAGGCTAAGAAGTATCAGAGAATGTGAAAGCGGAATAGTTTGGTGGAGACTTCAGGGCCCTGAGACGGCTGCTTAGGGGGTCTGGAGCGCAAGTAGTGTTTGCCTCCATACCTCCTGCAAGAATGGGTGAAGAGGTAAACAGGAAGAGTCTACAGATCAATGCATGGCTACATGACTGGTGCCATAGGCAGGGCTTTGGGTTTTTTGATCACAGGCTGCTATACGAGACACCTGGCGTGGTGGTGGCAGGTGGGATGCACCTGTCCCAGAGGGGGAAAAGGCTTTTGGGGCAGGATTTAGCAGGGTTCATTGAGAGGGCTTTAAACTAGATATGAAGGGGGAAGGGGAGATAACTGGGTCTGTTAGGGACAAGGCCAAAAGAAACATGCCACAGCTTGAAGGATGGTGGACTAGGGAGGATTCTCAATCTGCTGTTTCATTTGAGGGAAGCAATAGATGTTTAGATCCTGTCCTGCAGGGGAAAAAGGGTACTAGGGCAAGAGTTAGCAGGGCTCATTCACGGAGCTTTAGGCTAGATTCAATGTGGGAGGGGGTTGTAGCGGGACTTGAACTAGTGGGGCATCAATGAAGACCAGAAGGCCTCCCACCTCCCAAGGGTGCCACCAGCGTGCTCTGCTCGCTTCCTGAAATGCCTGCACACCAATGCCGGCAGCATGGGGAATAAACAGGAGGAGTTAGAGGTCTGCGTGCGGTCTAAAGGTTATGATCTGGTGGCAATAACAGAGACACGATGGGACAGCTCACATGACTGGAATGTCGTCATGGATGGCCGTGTCCTTTCTAGGAAAGACAGGTCAGCAAAGCGAGGTGGTGGAGTAGCTCTTCATGTGAGAGAGCAACTAGATTGTATTGAGCTCTGTCCAGGGGCTGAAAGTGGAAGGTCTGTGGGTACATATTAAGGGGCAGGCTGGCATGGGTGATACAGCTGTGGGGGTCTATTACAGACCTCCTGATCAGGATGAAGGAGTTGATGAGGCTTTCTACAGGCAGCTGAAAGCAGCCTCACAACTACAGGCCTTGGTCCTCATGCTGGATTTTAACTACCCAGATATTTGCTGGAAGGCTTACACAGCCAGCCACGCACAGTCTAGGAGGTTCCTCCAGGGCATTGATTATAACTTCTTGATACAAATGGTCAACAAACCAACTAGGAGAGAACTGCTGGATCTTGTACTCACCAAGAAGGAGGGTCTCGTTGAAGCGGTGATGATCAATGGCAGCCTTGGCTGCAGTGATCACAAGATTGTGGAGTTCAGGATCTTGTGTAGGAGGAACAGAATACCTAGCAGGACCACAACCCTGGACTTCCACAGGGCCAACTTTGGCCTCTTCAATCGTTAAGAGAAGTCCCACAGGACAGGGTGCTAGAAGGTAAAGGGGCTCAAGATAGTTGGTCAACATTCAAGGACCACTTCTCCCAAGCTCAGGATCAGAGTGTCCCAATGGGTAGGAAATCAAGTAAGGGAGCTAGGAGACCTGCATGGTTAAACAAGGAACTGCTGGAAAAACTCAAGTGGAAAAAGAGAATCTATGGATCACGGAAGGAGGGGCTGGCCACTTGGGGGGAATATAGGACAGTTGTCAGAGGATGTAGGGAGGCAATTAGGAAAGCTAAGGCCTCCTTGGAAATTAACCTTGCAAGTCAGGCCAAGGACAATAGAAAGGGCTTCTTCAAATATATTGCAGATAAAACTAACATATAGAGGCAATATAGGCCCACTGCTGAATGAGGTGGGTGTCCTGGAGACAGAGGATTCGAAACCCACCTGGACGTGTTCCTGTGTGATGTACTCTAGGTGATCCTGCTCTGGCAGGGGGGTTGGACTAGATGATCTTTCAAGGTCCCTGCCAACCCCTAAGACTGTGATACTGTGACCTTATCGCAGCCTTCCAGTACCTGAAGGGGCCTACAAGAAAACTGGGGAGGGGCTTTTCATCAGAGAGTGTAGTGATAAGACAAGGGGTAATGGTTTTAAATTGAAAGAGGGCATGTTTAGGTTAGACATCAGGAAGAAATTCTTCACCATGAGGGTAGTAAGGTACTGGAATAGGTTGCCCAGGGAGGTTGTTGATGCCCCCTCCCTGCAGGTGTTTAAGGCTGGGTTGGATAAGGCTTTGTGCAGCCTGGTCTAGTGTGAGGTGTCCCTGCTCATAGCTGGGAGGTTGGAACCTGATGATCTTTTAAGGTCCCTTCAAACCTTAATCATCTTCACCTTAAACTGGGAACTGCTGTATCACAGGGGGTTTTTTTGTTCCTTGGGCAAGATGAGTAGATCTAGAATTATATAAGGAGAGATAACCAGGACAGGTATCATCTGACCTGCGTTTTATCTGTTTGTGTCTGTAACTGTGTGGTGAAGTCAACACACTGGAGAGAAGGGATGCCATCCAGAGGGACCTTGACAGGCTCAAGAAGTGAGCTCATGCAAACTGCATGAAGTTCAACAAGGCCAAGCGCAAGGTTCTGCACCTGGGTCAAGGCAATCCCATGCATGAATACAGCTTGGGAGGAGTAAGGATTGAGGAAAGCTCAGAGAAGGACTTGGGGGTAGTGGTGGACCAGAAGTTTAACATGACCCATCAATGTGCACTTGCAGCCCAGAAAGCCAACCTATCCTGGGCTGCATCTAAAGAAGCGTAGCCAGCCGATTGAGAGAGGTGATTCTGCCCCTCTACTCTTCTCTCATAAGACCCCACCTGGAGTATGTGTCCAGTTCTGCAGTCCCAGACATAAGAAGGACATAGAACTCCTTGACCGTGTCCAGAGGAGGGCCATGAAGATGATCAGAGGGCTGGAGCACCTCCCCAGTGAAGACAGGTGGAGGAAGTTGGGCGTGTTCAGCCTAGAGAAGAGGAGGCTTCATGGTGACTTTAATAGCAGCTTTCCAATATCTGAAGGAGGCCTACCAGAAAGCTGGGGTAGGGCTTTTTACACAGGTGTGTAGTGAGAGGACAAGGGGCAATAGTTTGAAGCTTAAAGAGGGGAGATTCAGGTTGGACATAAGAAAAAGTTCTTTCGTGTGAGGGTGATGAGATGCTGGAATAGGTTGCCCAGGGAGGCTGTGGATGCCCCCTCCCTGTAGGTGTTCAAAGCCAGGTTGGATGGGGCCTTGAGCAACCTGATCTAGTGGGAGGTGTCCCTGCTTATGCAGGGGAGTTCGAACTAGATGATCTTTAAGGAACAGGCTGCCCAGAGAGGTTGTGGAGTCTCCTTCACTGGAAATACTCAAAACCCGTCTGGACACGTTCCTGTGTGATGTACTGTAGGTGATCTTGGTCTGGCAGCGGGGTTGGACTAGATAATCTTTCAAGGTCCTTTCCAACCCCTAAGTTTCTGTGATTCTGTGATTTTAGGGTCTGATTTGGATTTGGTTGGCCAATCATTTTCAGGTATGGCTGCCCACGTTTTCCCCAATTTATGACTAATCATCTTTTGGATCTCGCCCTTTTCCTCCCTCTTTTTCTTTGTCATTTCTTTGTTGCCAAGGGAGGTCTGTTTAGTTTTCCAAATTCAAATTTGTGTTAGGGGCAGGCTACTTCTCAAATAAATATTTCAGATGGCTATAACTGTAGTTGCGGGTCAGCAGCTCAGTGAGTACCCCTTTGTGTTGGGCCTCCCCCTTAAGCCGCACCAAGTGCCCCTGGCGTGAGCCATTTTGTTGCCTGGGGCCATTCCGTGGTTGGTGACCACGTGTAGTGTTAGATCTATTGTAAGTGGGTGCCCCATCACCCCACCCACCACCCGAAACTCGGGGAGGGGGGCATGGTGAACATGCAGCCATTGCCGCATAGGTAGGTCTCTGGTCATCTTCAGTAAAAGTCAATAGGCAAATTACCCCCCACCGTAGGTGTAGAGCAGGTTCATGACCATCTAAAGAACCTTAAGGTGCATAGATCTATGAGACCTGATGGAATTCACCCACAGTTCTTGAGGGAGCTGGCGGATGCAATTGCTAAGCCTCTGTCCATCATATTTGAGAGGTCATGGCAGTCTGGTGAGGTTCCTGCTGAAAAAAGGGAACATAGCCCCTGTTTTTAAAAAAGGGAAAAAGGAAGACCCAGGGAACTACAGGCCAGTCAGTCTCACCTCTGTGCCTGGCAAGATCATGGAGCAGATCCTCTTAGAAAGTCTGCTAGGGCACATGGAAAATAAAGAGGTGATTGGTGACAACCAACATGGCTTCACTAAGGGCAAGTCATGCCTGACCAATCTGGTGGCCTACAACAAGGCTACAGAGTTGATGGATGGTAACAGAGCAACTGATATAATCTACCTGGATTTGTGCAAGTTGTTTGACACTGTCCTACATGACATCCTGGGCTCCAAACTGATGAGGCATGGATTTGACAGACGGACCACTCAGTGGATAAGAGATTGGCTGGATGGCTGCACCCAGAGAGTTGTGGTCAATGGCTCAGTGTCTAAATGGAGGCAGGTGACGAGTGGTGTCCCTCGGGGTCAGTATTGGGACCAGTGCTGTTCAACATCTTTGTTGGAGACGTGGACATTGGGATTGAGTGTATCCTCAGCAAGTTTGCTGATGATACCAACCTGACACCCTAGAGGAAGGGAGGCCAACCAACCAAATGCAGGCTCGGGGGAGAATGGCTAGAAAGCAGTCCTGAGGAAAAGGACTTGGGGGTGGTAGTAGATGAGAAGCTCAACATGAGCCGCCAGTGTGTGCTGGAGCCCAGAGAGCCAACCCCATCCTGGGCTGCATCAAAAGAAGTGTGGCCAGCAGGGCCAGGGAGGTGATTCTGCCCCTCTGCTCTGGTCAGACCCCACCTGGAGTGCTGTGTACAGTTCTGGTGCCCTCAGCACAGGAAAGACATGGGGCTGTTGGAGAGGGTCCAGAGAAGGTCCACAAAGATGATCAAAGGCCTGGAGCACCTCTGCTATGAAGACAGGCTGAGAGAGTTGGGGCTGTTCAGCTTGAAGAAGAAAAGGCTCTAGGGAGACCTTATAGTAGCCTTCCAGTACCTGAAGGGGCTACAGCAAAGCTGGGAAGGGGCTTTTCATCAGAGAAGATAGTGATAGGCCAAGGGGTAATGGTTTTAAACTGAGAGAGGGGAGATTTAGGTTAGATATTAGGAAGAAATTCTTCACTCTAAGGGTGGTGAGGAACTGGAATAGGTTGCCCAGGGAGGTTGTTAATGTCCCATCCCTGGAGGTGTTTAAGGCCAGGTCAGATGAGGTTTTGTGTGGCCTGGTCTAGTGGTAGGGCTACCTGCTCGTGGTAGGTCTACCTGCTCATGGAAGGGGGGTTGGAACTTGATGATCTTTAAGGTCCTTTCCAACCTTAATGATTCTATGAACCTCTGACCATGGAGCCTTGCTTTGCATGCAAATAGCCAGACTCACATGTGATAAGTAGCCAGACAGGGTCCTGTCATTTATCACATGACCTCTATGGACTATGGAGCCTTTGCTTTGCTTCAGAAATCATGCAGTTCAACCAGTAGACAAGGACAGTGCTGTATCCCTTCCATCCAGTGAGTTGGACTTGTTTTCTCTAACAGACACAACTTAGCCTACTTGTTGGGTCCAAAGGCTGAACACCCACTCAAGCACTGTTTATCTCACACTCCTCTGCACAGGTTCTTCCAAGAAAGCTAAAACAAAGCACAATACAAGTTTCTGTTTTCCCACAACACCACATGCACGTTCTTCTGAAGCTGTCATTCTGTTCTAGTTTTTCATTTTCACCAACTGTTGCTTTGTTGTGGTTTAATCCCAGCTGGCAATCGAGTACCACACAGCCACTTTCTCACTCTCCCCGTGCCAGTGGATGGGGAAGAGTATCAGAAAATAAAGTAAAACTCATGA